ACAACTTTATTATCTTATACTTCCTAAGGTCAGAAGTCCAAAGTCAAGGTGTGGTCAGGGCTGGTTCCTTCCGGAGGTTCCAGAGGAGAATCCATTTCTGTCCTTTTCCAGCTTCTAGAAGCTGTGGCATTCCTGGCTGGTGATCCCTCAGCTCTCACCTCTGCTTCCCGGACTCTGCCCCTCCTTAAAGAGGGAGGCCCTTGTGATGACACTGGGCCCACCTGGATAATCCAGGACACTTTCCCCATCTCAAGCCCTTAAGTTAATCGCATCTGCAGAGTCTGCTTTGCCACGTCAGGTAGCATATTCACAGGTTCTGGTGGTTAGGACGTGGACACCTTCAGGGCTGTGTTCTGCCCACCACACCCAGTCAGATCGAAGGCACTTCACCGAGTACAACTCAGAGTAATGGCTGCATCCCATGCAGCCTGGACCGCTCTGCTTTCAGCTCATCACTCCTGCACTGACCGTCTAGACACTCAGGTCCTGGAGTGTCTGTCAGGAGACACCAGGCTGCAGGGAGGGACAGGCAGAGAGGACCACCTGGGAGGAGGGCCCTGCTGTTGTGGTCATGGGGAGAAACATTATTGCCTTGGGCCTGTGTCTGAGATTAGAGGCCAAGGCACCAGACCTGGGTCTGTGTGTAGGGTTGGAGTGGTTTGGGATGGCTTGGGATAGCTTAGGATTTTGTTTAGAAATCTGGGAAGGCTAATAACCCCTGCTGACAAAAACCAAGGCTGCCTGTGCTGGCTGCAAAGAGAGCTGCTCATGGGGGGCAAGTCTGAGACTGGGGTGCTGCTGGACACCGTGCCCCACACGTCAGGCTCCCACCTTGGCATGGCACACCTCTGTGAGATGCATTTGCCTCTGCGAGGGGCTGACACAGCCCCGCCCAGTCAACATGAGCTCCTGCCTGGGCAGCAGGAACATATTGATTACAGAAAGAAAGTCTACACAGGGTGAGGTAGTGCCACAATGTGCCAACTTCGGGAAGCCATTTGAGGTCCTTGGTTTAGCCTTCCAGCGCTCCACGCCCATGCACCTGTGTAGTGGT